CTCTCGCCTCCAGGAAATTTCTTGCTACATTTCTCCTCTTCCACACCCATCCCGTCTCTGTATCTCGTCCCGCCAGAACCGATCCCAGCCATGAAGCCACTGGAGGTACCGGAAGGGTCGGCACCAACTTCGACATCGGAGGATCGCATCCTCAATTTCCGATTTCGCCATGGTTATATATATATATATATAGGAATAGAATATCCCTTCGGGATGACTTCTTCAGGACAACCCAGGTGCTGGGAGCGATGGCCGACAACCACAGACACCTAGGCTTATTATGTTAGTGAATCATGCCGATGAATTCGACATCGGAGGATCGCATCCTCAATTTCCGATTTCGCCATGGTTATATATATATATAGGAATAGAATATCCCTTCGGGATGACTTCTTCAGGACAACCCAGGTGCTGGAAGCGATAGCCGACAACCACAGACACCTAGGCTTATTATGTTAGTGAATCATGCCGATGAAGCCAGACCTACAGCCAGCACGAGTCCGAACTATTGAGAGAAAATGAGAAGAGCGATGGATGGCTAAGGAGGCCTGATGATGATGATGGCAAGTCGTAGGAGTCTCGTCAGAGGCACGGTCCGACCGAACAACTTACAGTGTTTGCGGCGTGGACGCCGTCTTGATGGGGCTCGGGGGAGAGGGGATCTTCAGTCATGACGGGTTCTTCGACGTCTTGGGAACCACTGGGGAAAATAAAGGGTTGTGTCTTCGGAAACAATTGCCGCTGGAGGGAGATCATGCTTTTCCCATTTTCGTCAAAATCCTCCGCAAAAGGAACTACTCTTCTCTTGCCGACAAGATTGAACAATGTAGGCAACTTGCTGACCGAGCTAGATGTCCTCCATGATATACAGATACAAAAATGATCCTTAATTTTGAAGGTATTTTTTAACTATCTATAGTACAGGTCAACAAGAAAACCCCTTTGCAGGGATTACAGAGATGACAACCACACAAATGGCACAAACATTGGCTGCCGTATAGCAAGAAACTATGGCCGTAAATTCACTGTCGTGCAAAGGAAATGGGCATAGCGTGCTTTGAAAAGACAGTGAGAGATGAGAGGGAAGAAATTCGCTCCCCAACGGACTCCTTATCAATGAAAGGGGGAAGGTGGAAAGGAAACCGGAAGTAGGGGAGATGGATATCTGGATGGGGGGGGGGGGGGGGGGGGGGGGGGGGG